AGCTCGCCAAGGAACTCCTATCCCTGTAAAACATTAGGGACCACAGGCCCTTGATCTGGTCATTGCCTCCTTCTTTAGCTCCACCTTCACTTGTTTGCAGGCTTTATTCACTGCTGCGCCTTCGGCGTCCAGAATAGTGAAAGGAACATGGTGGGCTCCATAAACGTTTGCCTAACACACGAAGGACTTCTGGCATTGTTTGACTCCTCGCGTTAGTCACTCTCTATCCTGAGGACTCCCATACTCCTTGCCACCTGCCTCTTGATACAGTTTCTACTCTCTCACCGCTCAGCTAAAGAGACATCTCCTCTGTGACTCTTTCCCACTTGCTGCCCTCAATGCCCAGGAGTTGGGCCATTATCCTGTCCCGCAGCACCTTGGGTAGATCCCAGGAGGCATTCCACTGGGAAGTGTGAAGAGCACTGACTCGGGAGCCAGCTAGTTGGATTCCCTCTGCCAGGTGCTGACTCCTAGGAGACCGTGGGCGCCTCACCTCTCTGGATTCCATTTTCTTATGTTTAATGTGTGGATGACAATAGTGTCCATCTCAAAATGTGATTGAGAGGTATAGTGCACCCACAGATTTAGTACCAGGAGTGGCCGTGCCCCTGACCTCAAGTTGCTCACAAAACTGATGCCTCTTACAAACTCTAATTTTCGATATACACTTTTGGTGTCAGTCCCAAATTTATTTTATTCAGAAACCCTTATATAGAATTTACTTACACAGAATAGCTACATACCATTCTAAGAGTAGATATATATCATTCTATGTGCGTATCTCCTACTACTACACTATTTACTGTTCCCCTACTACAGGTGAGGAACCTGCTGCCCAGAGAGGTTAAGTCACTTTCCTAAGATCACACAGTAAGTGTCAGAGCTGGGATTCAAACTGAGGCCCCATGACTTCATGGTGTTTGCTATTATTTGATTATGATTATGATATCCTTTAGAATAATTGCATCATATATATTTGTGGGGTCAAGATTTGATGGCTAGAACTCGAGTGAGTCCCTCCATGAACTGGAACAGAAGAGAGTAGTGACCATCCTTGCCCCTAGTCAGCTACTCTGTGGAGGGTTTGACAGTTGCCTCCCTAGCTCCATTCAGTGTGCATTGTTATAATAGCAGTATGTTCTAGAATGGGCTTTCCCTGGCCAAGAATCTTCCTGAACTGGGGGTGTAGACCAGCAAGCCTTGATGATGAAGTGAGTTTTGTGGCATTGATTAGTCTCTTGGATTCTTAGTGTCTTGACTCCTAGTTTTAGTGTCTGGGGCCAAAGCACTTTCATGACTGAATCCTTCCCTCCTATGCACTTCTCTCATCTTTCTGCACATACATGTGTAGCTCTCTATTTTCTCTGGTGGAGAAAATCTTCATCTTCTGCCTGTAGCCTCCTCTCTCCAGCACCAACTTTCTTACCATTGCTGACAAGACACACACATTGCTCAAGTGCTGAGGAACCTCTGAGGGCATTATTGATTTTGTCAGGTGTCATTCTTGCCCCCCTACTTCTCCCACCCCCACCCCAAAATGTCTCTGGATATTTTGAAAGTATGATAGGCCTGAGGAGTGCCTGGCGACCTTGGAAACTCATATATATCTAGTCCATGACAAAATGGTGCATTCTGAGGCCTATCAGGACGATAACGGAGGGAACAAGGCTCCAGTGATCTTGCTTCTCACACCCTCCTGAGTCTGTTGAAGGGAGGTAAAAATGTTTCCACTTCCTGGCTTAGAAAATCCTTCTCCAAAGATAGCTCTCAGGGTGGCCTGTGGCCAATCAGGCTTTTCTCATCATTTTACAAGGTCACTGTGTATAGATACCAGCCTTCCTCTTCCTTCTGAAAGACCAGAGTCCTCTGATAGCAGTTTGGGAAGGAAGCTGATGAGAACTATGCTTACCATTTCTCTCCTTTCTGGGGCATATAAACATAAGAAAGAGGGCCCAAGGCATGGACCCTTTTTTTCTTTGAGGGTTGGGAGATCTCACAAGTGGTAAGTCTCCCTGTCATTCAAACGCTGCGAGATGCACTGGGCTTCCCTACAGAAAAGCTCGGCTTCAGAAATCCATTTAGTTCAACTCTGACCTTTCTGAATGCAAATTTTTCATCTGGTGAAATGAAAGGAAGCCAGGCATAACACCCCCACAGCCCTCTCAGAACACCACCAGGAGGAGGAGCAATGGTGATGGGACTCACCGGCTGGAGTTTTCAGTGGGAGTCATGCATGGTGCTGTCAAGACCCATTGCTTCCAGTCTGAGTCGGAGATATTTTGGTGGATGAATCTGGGCCTTCCTTTCCTCCCTTCCTCTGATGCTAATGTGGCCATCTGCATCTCCCAGACAACCTTCACAAGTGCACACTCACCATCCTGGAAGAGTAGGCTGGGGAAGGATTGTTATAAATATAGAATATTGAGTGTCTACATAAGAGGTTGGGTTTGCTTGGCTTGCCAAGAGCAAAGCAGGGTCCTTGGTGCCCTGGGGCCCATTCCCATACTCTGGAATGCTCACCAGTGCCCTCCCTTTTCTGGAGCTCCGTTTATTATTTTCTTTCTTTAATATACTAAGCAATGGACTTAGATCATAATGCCCCTCAAATCTGTTCAAATGTTGCATGAACTTTTCTTTGAAGTGCTTAGTTGTATAAACTCCCAGCCAGTCTGAGTCCAGTGGGATATCCCATGGTTATTGCTTTGTCCAGAGGAGAGGGAGTTGTGATTTCCTCCTCCATTCCTCTCCGTCCCCTGGGAGATGGCCAAAAGGGTGGTTTGTTTGTGTGAACCACTAGGAGCTCTCTGAGCTCAAGAGGCCCCTCCATGTGGTAAGCCCTGACCAGCAATCAGGTTACCCTAAATCCAAGATAGGCTCACCCCTTGGTCCTCATACTCACCTAGTAAGAGATTCCCTTACTTGAGCCCCCTGAGTTAAAAAGGTTGGGTGAGAATGGAGTAGGAGAGAGGAAGCAGAGGTCCTGAGAATGTGTTGATTACTTTTAGTTTTTGAACTACTGGAATTCTGTGCTAAGTAGTGCTGTCTCTGTAAAACCTGGCTGGCTCCCAGTATTCCGGAAGTAGTATTAAATTTGTTTAATTTGAAGAATTTATGCTATAGGTAGATAGTGGGAATTCAAAACAAATAATAAAGGATACAGCTCCCATAGCACCATGTACTTCTAATATTCAGCTCCATTATGTATCACACAAGCCCAGGAACCATATCCAACTCACAGTGGCATTTGTGAAATGAAAGATTCTGTTTCTGTTGTCATCCCTAACGTTGGTGTCTCAGACCCAGGCCAGAAGCAAGAGCCCTGCTTGTGTCTGAAGCTCTGCTCTATCTCAGCTTTCCTCTGTCATTCTGTAAGTAAAGTAGGGCCATACCAGTATTGTCATTTCTCCCAGACAGTGCCCAGGCCAGAGTTCAATATAGTCAGACCTCCAGGTGATCCTTTCAGGGGAAGTTCTGGCCCATCCAGTGCTCTAGAAGCATGGGCAGGGTTATGGAGGCTCCAGTGCACAATGGCTAGGCAAGCAGATTCCAGAATCCGATAGCTTTGGCTTGAATCCAGACTCTGATACTTATTAACTATGGGAACTTGACAAGTCACTTCACTGCATGGAGTCTCTATTTCCACATCTATTAAAGGAGATGCTAATAAAAACACATACCCTGCCGGCTCATTGTCACGATTAGGTGAGATGATACGACACAACAGGTGTCTGATACAGGATTCCAGCAGAATGGGGAGCTGCTCCCCTGAGAGTCACTGCTCACTGCCTGCAAAATGAAAAGGAATGACCTTTGCCAAAAGTTCACTTTCCGGAAGTCGGTTGACCGGTGAATCTGCTAAAAGAGCTGCCAGGTAGGACAATCTCTTGGAAAACTCAAAAGACCTGGTAAGAAGTAGAGAAAAAACAAAGCCCCAGGGCTGATGGGGGCAACTTCTATTTATACTTGTTGGGCAAAGGGAAGGTAGTCTCTCCAGAGAGTGGTCTGGTGCCATAGAAATTCTAGCAGCTTTGAGCCATTGTTTTAATCACAACCTAAGCCTGTCTGTTCTCTTCCTTCTGGTCAGCTCAGTTCCAGGAACATATACTGATGCCTGCGTCGGGCCAAGCACAGATGGGCCCTGGCTCAGGTGATCCCTGTTCTATAATCACTGCTAGCGGGGCAGTCTGCCCGAGGTTTTTGCGGTGTTAACAGTTTACACAGTTCCATCACGCCATTCAATTGTACTTTCTGTGAACAGTGTTCTCAGGAACCGTGAGGTTATGGGCAGGCCCAGGAAGTGGGCAAAGATTAAGGCAGCCATTTGATAGCCAAGAGAAGAGGGTATGTAGAGGACTTGACTAATGTAACATAGGTGATCTGCGCCAAATTCCACCATCCCACTAGCTATACTCTAAGCAAGGCCTGTCTGGGTAAGGGGAAGAGTATCAGCTAGCAAATCTAGCTAAAGTCCAGGGTGATCAAGAAGCAGAGCAAGGAGGGAGGTTCACAGTCGGTGTCGGAGGTGCTATGCAGCTCCCTTAAATCCAAAAAGGGACACTGAGACTTGCTTTCCAGCTACCTAAGCCAAGGAGCTTAAAGGCCCAACCCTTGCCTCTCCCTGACACTTGGATACCAGCATGAGGGAAGGGGGTTGCGGGGAGGGTTCACCTCAAACCGCGCCCCGCCCCATCGGCCCTCCGTTGGTCTCGGACTTGCGCTCTTACGGGTGGGAGCGCATGTCCGCTCGGGGCTCTGGGGGCCCGCTGAAGCCCACGTGCGCCCGCGCCAGCCGCTGTGACAGCTGGCCCCATCGGGCGGGGCTGATGAGGGGCGAGGGTGGGCTCCGCGCGGGGTTGCCATTGGCCTAGGGCTTCGGGCCGGGGGTGGGGCCGCGCCCCCGGCTGCCCTGTCATTGGCTTCGCCGCCCATGGGGGCGGATCCCAGCCCAGTTGGCGGCGCGGCGTAGAACTGCAGGCGCTAGCCTGGCTAAGCCTGCGCGGGGCCCCTTCTCCCTCACAGCTCCGCAGGCTGCTCGTGGGTCCTGACCCGCTGTGCCCGCCGCCGGAGGAGGAGGCAGGCTCTGACCCGACCGAGGCCCGGCTGCGGCGCGGCTCTTGGTAAGGCGGGGTCGGCGTGGGATCCTGGGGAGGGCAGGGAGCGGGGACCGTGCCAGCCTAGGCGGGACTCCGGAGCTCTGGCCCGCGCCCGGGAGGGTCAGGTGCGGCCGCAGCATCTCCCGCCTCAAACCCACTCTGCCTGGCGCTCGGCGAGCTGGTAGCGCAAACCCAGGAGCCCGGCTGCCCGGGTCATTTTAGCACGCAATAAAAGCCTCCCACCCCTACTCCCAACTACCTCTTTCTCCGCCCCCAGTTCCCAAACCTGGCAATTCTAAGCCCAGAAAAATCCCCGAACGTCAACACGGAGTGGGCGCGACGCGCCTGCAGTATTGCCTGCCGCCGGGGCAGACGATCATTCCCAAACTTTGCTTCCCCACAGTCTGCCCTCCGCACTGTTCCCGTGCTTTCCAGCTCTTCACTAGGCACTCACCCCCCTCCTCCTCCCTCCTTAACAACAGGAAGTTAAATTGAGCCAAACCTTAGTGGCCTGGCCCCTTGCGGGCTGGGACCCGGGCCCTATGGTGACCCGATGGTCCTGGTGCTGCCCGGCTCACTGCAGGTCGGGGAAGCACCCCCTCGGACGTCCTCTGAGGCAGACCAGAGGGGAAGTGAGGTCTTGACCGCAGCCTCTGCCTACACTGACCTGGCTTCCAGGCGGGCGCAGGTGGGGTTAACTTTATCTTAGACCAGCCTCTGGGCAGAACTGGGAACGGCCTTTGCTGCATGGGGAAGAGGCGTGTTGAAACCAGAGTAAACGTGTGTCTCCATCCACGTTGTTTATTCTGAAGCCGGGTTCTTAAAGCTGAAAGATTTTTTTTGGAAGCTCGTGGGGTTCCTCGGACCTGTGGCAGCGTGCAGACCCTCCTCCTGTCCGTCTCCCCGGCTCACTACAGTCTTCTGTGGTTTTCATAAAGGGTCATCAGTCTGCCCCTGCTGGGCAGGTCCTGTGGGAAGGAAGCCAGCCTCGGGTTGGCCCCGTGACGTTTGTGTGCCTGGGTGCCTTGGCACCTGTACTCGCTCTGTTACTGTCCCCTTCCCATGAGAAGTGAACCCAGTAAGTGGACCTTCAGTCTCCTGGGCAGCCTCGCCCAATGTTCTGAAGACTCTCAAGAACCCACCTTCAGGCAGAGAGAAGACAGATTTATTAAGTGCCTCCTGCGGGGACAAGTCCTGCCATGTGGCACTTTTGCAGCCAATTTTATGATTGCCTTCCAAAACCTCTGAGAGTTTCGCCCCTACATTTTAGAGAGGAGAAGAGAGACGCGGGGAGGGTAGGAGCCCAAGGTCACTCAGAAAGTGGCTGGACCAGGACTTGAACTTGGCTCTGTTAGGTCCTGTCCTACTTCCCAGTGATCATGGCTCTGTAACGCTGACCAGAGGCTCTTGGCTTCTAGAAGGAATTTGTCCAGAGCGTTGGGAGATGCTTCTTAGGGAAGCACTTGAATTGACCCCGCGTAGCCCTGGAATCCCCTTGCGCACTTGTCTTTCAGTCAGGGGTGGTGGCTAGTGTTGTTCATGCTGTGATGACAAGGTAGTGACTACTGTTGTTTGGATGTCACAGGTTGAGGGCAAGTGTGTAGGAGAATCTGTAGCTGCCACTGACTTGGTTTCACCTCAGCGAGTTGGCTTCTGAAATGGTCTAGGAGGGCGATTTTGCAGTAGTAACTTCTGTTAGGATTGATTCTACTTTTATTTACCTTCAAGGGGGAGAACAGTTGTTGTTTTCTCTCCCAGTAGTAGCTGTAAGTCATTGTGGCCCTTAGTTTGAGCGTACCTTTATAGAAAGTGACATCACTTTTATCTCTGACATCACTTTTATCTCTGCCTCCATCCTTCTTCAGACCCAAGGCTCTGAGGTTCTATGCATTCTTCTCTTCACAAAGAAACTCAGTTATTCTGTTATCAGCCATTTACATTTTAATGAGTCAACTTAAGACTAAGTACTGGTTGTAACTGTGGTCACTAGAGACCCATCCCAGGAGCTGCTGCCTATGAACAGGGTGTGTCTCTGTTCTGTCCCCCTGGTCCACATCCTCATATCAGTTTGCCTCCCAGTCATGGGCCTGACTCTCACTCCCTATTGCTGAAGGATGGAGGTCCCACCACCATAGTGGAGAGCTTTAACTCTGGCGGGGTAGAAGGTGTGTGCAGGAGATTTAGGCTGAGCATTGCTGACGTCTCCTGTGGACAGGGGTCTTGTTTAAAAAACCCAGGGAATGGAGGATTACTGCTGTCCATCATTTTGGGATTTTTCATCCTTTATATTGTTAGAATCCCACAATAGTTCTCTGAAGTAGTAGGTGAGGTTACTCCTATTTTACAGATGAGGAAACTGAGACTCAAAATAGTTAAAACTTGCCCCCTGTACATAGCTAATGAGCAGCGCTATTAGGATTCTGACTCAGTGTATATGAGTGAGGTCTGCACGCCAGGGAAGGAGGTAAACCTTGCAGCCATCTCGAAACTCTGGAGGCTTGGTGCACACAGCTCCCCTCAGTTCTCACCGTTTCGGATTATAGACTTTTCTTCCCATGTCATTATGAAATGGCACTGAGAACATTCACAAACGTGATCACCTTCACAAATCCTCCTTGCCTTTTGTCCTGTGTTCCCTTAGCCTTTACACCAGTCTTCATAAGCTATCTACCACAATGTATTGCAGTCTTCTATTTAAAAATGTCATGAGCATTTTCAAACACAAAAATAGAATCGTATGATGAGTCCCATATACTCATTATCCAACTGCAGTAGTCAGCAAGATGATGCCATCTCTCTTCTCCCTTTCCCTTCTGTTCTTTCCCTCTGAAGCATTTGAAGCAAATCCAGATATCGTGTCATTTTGCCCCTATATAACCCAGTATATATCTATTTTAAGACAGCATTCTCTTTCATAACCAAATGCCATTATTGTATTTAACAGAAGTAGCAGTAATTCTTTGGTCACGTCAGCTCATACTCAGGTTTCCTTAATTGTCTTAGAAATAACCTTCGTCATTGGTTTGTTCAAATCCAGGTCTGAACAGTGTGGCTGCCTTTGAGTGTGAGTCCTTTAATGCCTGGTTTAATCTAGAATTCCCCTCTCCCCACAGCCAGCTGTTTTACTCTCTGTTTTCAGTGCCTCTCTTCCCTGCTGGACAGAAAACCCTTGTGACAGGAGCTGGCTTGTGTGCCGGGCTAGAGCCCCAGTGCTGTGTCTGCAATGGGGCAGAGGCACGGCGTGCATCTGTCTGATTGTGTCATTGCCACTCAGGAAATGCATTTTGAATGAATGAGCCCTGCTGTGGATTTGCTATGCCTGTGTTAGATAAGAGGTTTTTTTTTTTTTTTTTTTTTTTTTTTTTTTTTTTTTTTTAAAAAAAAAGATGACTTGCTCGCGTGTGGACGTTTTCTCAGTGAGCGTCAGCCTGTAAACATCCTGAAATAATAGAAATTTTGGCTGTGCTCAGCTTCTCTGGTTTGTGGTGGGGAACCCAGACAGCCCCATTTGTGCCCTGCTCAATAACCGGCCTCCCAGATCACATGTGGGCTTGGCAGGGACTGACATCATTTCTGTCTGAGCTTTGACTCCTGATTCATTCAGATCATTTCTGTCTGAGCTTTGACTCCTGATTCATTCAGCTGTCGGCATTACGGTGTTGTGACCCAGGAGCTTGGGCTGAGTTTGGGCTGAGTGCGGACTGCACACACCTGAGACCTGCATCTGGCTTTCTGGGCAGCAACTTCCCTTTTGCCTTCACAAGCCTTCTCTACCTCGCCTCCCACTGGTGAGTCAAGGCACCTTCTCTAATCATTATTCCTGGGCCACTGGTGGCTTGAGTCAGAAAATGAGCACGTATGACCTCCCAGTGTTTCGTATGAGTTTGTGGTGAAGAGATAATATCCTCCCTGGCACCTTTGTGGGCTTCCTAATGAAGGAGACCAGAGGGGAGGAGAGAAGGAACAGGTGTGCTTGCCGCCCTTGAAGATGCACTTCACACCTGCTTCCTTGCCAAACTCCTCAAGGTCTGCCTCACCCAGAGGGGCCCCCTTCTAACAGCCCCCCCAAATGAGCTTCCCCCTTCCTGCTCTTCCTTCTTTTTCTTCTCTCTCTCTACCTCCTTCTTCCCCTTTTCTCTTCCCTCCCCCTTCTCTCCCCTCTCCTCCCCCCTCTCCTGTCCCATTTCTCCTTCACTTCCTCCCCACTCTCCTTCACTTCCTCCCCACTCCGCTTCTTCCCTCCCTTACACTTTCTCTTCTCCCTCCTCCTTTTCCTTCTCCTCCCCTTTCTCTTTTCCTCTCCTTCTTCTCCCCACTCCCTTCCTCCCTCTCTCTCCTCCTACTCCTCTCCCTCTTCCTCCTCCCCTCCCCTATATTTACATTAAATCTTCTGGATAGTAGTTGACTTTTCTCCTTTATCTTTTACTTCTCAGTATTTCTCCCCAGTTTTTATACTGAAAACATTTTATTTTTTTCTGAAGGAAAACCCAAATATTCCTTTTTTTTTTCTTTTAAAAAGGAGTCTGTGTCCTTTAAATGATTTGGATGGGTAGAAAAAATTTTATGTGCATTTGCAACAGCTTATACATGAGAAGGCCCTAGAGCCATTGGGATTTTGATAATTTGTGACATTATTCTAAAGAACATATCTGGGCTTCCAAAGAGAAAATTTAAAAGCGGGGCTTAGAGGCTGGGAGCTATGGCCTCTGTGTAGCTTTGCTCTGTCTCCTGTTCTACCTCCTCCTCCCTTTGTTTTCTGAGAATTTTGTTTTGGTCTCCCCAGATGATATCAGCAGTAGTCTCCTGATTTTGATATATTTATTTTTTTAATTCAGGGAGGTTGAGCTAGCAGAGGAATACAGAATGACACAGTGTGCTAAGACAAGCAGGCAGGACCCAGCTTCAGGCTCCTGTGGTCTGTCTGTCCCCTTGGGAAAGTGCCTGGTAGTCAAACACTCTGCTCACTCTGGGGCTCTCTGACCCCTCCCTCTGTTTCTGTTCCCTCCCTGTGTCCTTCTAGAGGT